AGATTGTCGAAACAACTAATTAGACTTGTAATTAGTAATAAGTCAAACTATAACTTGAATGAGTTGCCCAAACAACATCACGACAATTCTGATAATCAAAAATCAACAATGACGGCTCTTCTGATTGTTGTTACTATTGTTGAAAGTTGTAAAGTAAGTATAATCTGGTGAAGGTTAAACAGTTGAGAACATAATACACCTGAAAAGTTAGAAAATTTAAAATATGGGAAAACAATTTTTCGGCAAGTTAAAAAAGGATAACATGCTGGTTTTCTTTTAGGATTTTTCCGATGTTCAGGTTGCCTCAAAAAAAATTTGCCCCACTTTGAATTATAAAAAAGATACATAATAAAGTAGTGGAATAGTAGGCACATTTAATTATATTCCAGTTCCATACAATTCAGTATAAATATAATTATTGGTTTGTTTAATTTTAAAATATCGAGAAAATGGTCATAAAAAAATCTTTGATGATAACGATTTTGATGAATCGATGATAACGATTTCATCTGGGTGTATTCAACAAAATTTGAACCAGAAATAAAATGATTGTTGATGTTTCAATTATTGCAACAATAGTAGTGATCACTTATCAGCCGAAATGATACTCGTTTCTTCTTTACATTTCTCATGCGAATACCACCATATTCAATCTAATAATCACCATTTGATCTTCTCATCTTAAACTTTATTTTGTTGTTTTGCGCGAGAAAAATCATCTAGTATCCATGATAATCATTATCATTATTATTATCTCGGAATCATAACAATTAAAAAGACAAGTTTGGTAATTGTCTGAATGCTAACTGTAGATTTATTTTGTATGACACATATTGATGACAGATCCTCGAGAATTGTTATCAGTTCATGAAATCAGTATAATTCGATTACTTTCTGTTGAACTGTAAACCAACTTCTCTTCATATTAAAAGTATAGAAATAAGTTGCTTTCACATAGAACAATGATTACTTTCGGGAAATTCTTCATTGATAGCAATTGTGTTGGTTTCTTGCCAATTTGCTTCATAAAATCATTATTATTATCCGTTTTCTGAATTGTTAGATCCAACAATTTAAAACTTTTGAAGTTATAAATTCAAAATTTCTAAACTTTCGTCTCTAACCTTTTTCAATCTTTTCCTATTCCATTTTTTAATTTAAGTTTTCATGTTATTTTGCATTAGAAGTCCATGCTTATATTATACAGGTATATATGATAATGTGGGCAAATTTTTGCAGTTTGTAAAGTGCACTCATTTTGAAATGCGACAAATTATACGAAGGATAACAATGCATTTTGTAATAATTGTAAGTATGAACTTTTCTTATTAATTTTGATGTAATGAAAGACTTTTACAAATATGGCATTTTTAGACTTAGCTCTCACTAATTAGTGTGATCAATTAATTATCAAAAACTTGTATCCTTTTCTATCTCACCATTTTAAATCTTAATTGAAATGAATAAGGTGGATTCAAGTGAGATGACAATATGGGATATGTTTTGCTGATAAATTAGCGTTTAATGTTCCAAATGAAAATAACAATAATAATAAAATTTAAATGACTTGCGCCATTTGAATCCCTGCAATCTTTTAATTATCACTAAACAATAATTAGAAGAGAAAGTGAAATCGGGTCCTGCAAAGGGTCACAAGAGGTTACGATTGTTTATGAATTGATCTCACTGGTGAAATCATTTCACCTTTGTTCCTTGGAAATCTTTGTATCTCTTGAAAAGGCATGTGCATTGTGAAGGAAAGAGGTCATTATTGAATTCGCACTCTGGTGATTTTTGATTATTTGCGATGATTTTAATTGATTCATTAATGAAATTAACAATGATTTAGTTTTACTTTAAATTCCCGTAGGGAATGTTTATAAATTAATGTGCAATTAGTATTTTTGAGTAACCAATGTTCTGAAATGATTTAATTGAATGCAAATTAGTGTAATAATTAATATTTCTTGAGCTGTCATCTTTAAATAAAACTCTCAATGACTGCTGATTAAAGTTTGCATTTATAGAATTCATTTTGTGGAAATCCTCAAATTTCCCTTAATCTTAAATTCTATTTCTCTTCAATGTCCGAAATTACTTTCAGGTTATATTAATTTCTAGAAATGCTGTAGTAACATCTGACCATAACCTCCCCTTTGATTATGACCTTCAGTACAACAATAATCAAAGAATATCTGGGTTTAAGGAAAACGAAGAAACTCAACGAAAAATTGGTATGGTAATATTTTGGTGAATAAATCAATCAATAATATACATATTCACATATTTCTAATTACTTCCCATAGAATTCCCGCTAATTCGAATATGTGAATCAATAATATTTATAATAAGGAAACGAGTAAATAACTTTTTATCAAACTACATGTATTTCTAGTTTTGTTTTCATACACGCTTATTAATCTCTTCATATCCTGAAGTGAATATATTGTAGGAAATATAAACAGTAACCATTATCTGTCACCAAGGATGAATAATGAAGTGAGTAATATCTGAATTTTTTGAAAGCTCTGAAATCTATTAAACTGTATAATGGCTTGAATTGAGTTATAGGAACCGGTATTCAACGGGAAAGCGCAGATGACGCAGAATCCTTATAAAACATATCATTCACTGTTACGTGATGACTTTTCTTATGCTAACGACGTGAATTCAAAAAGTTACACTGCTAATTTAAAAAACACAATCCTATTTAATGTTAGAGAAAATTCCAAAACTGTTTGAATAGATTTCAGTGCTTTAAAAAAAGTGAAAAAGTATATGTTGGCAAGTCTTCTTCCATCAATGTCGTTTCAAATTTTGAAAATTTTAAATATTTTTTTAAATAAATTTTTTAATACATCTCTATGCTTAGTTTCTTTTTAAATGCAATTTAGAAAATTCTAAATTCTCAATTTTTAATTATTTGAAAACTTTCTATAAAATAAAAGGTTCCTTTTGTCGAAAAATGATTCCTGTCTTTTCAAGTTGGATATTTTTCTAGGGAAGCATTGCGACATTTGCGCAAGCGATTGATGATAAAACTGATGAGAATGGTGAAGACAAGGTAGGATCCATAAGACTTGAAAAAACATTAATTGAAGAAATCGAACAACCGGAGCCAATTAAATCAAATGCTGATACCATAGCAGTGGCAGATAGAAGTTGGTTGGAAACAACTTTTGATGAAACGAGCCGAGTTGTTCGGAATATATTGGAACGAGAGAACGGATTTTCACAATCAGATCATAGCTCTAAATTGAGTCCAAAATTAGCTACCTATAGATTCGGAAACTTGGCATCAAGTCATATCATAGATTATTCCGCATTCTTGACAAAATCCCCTTCGGTGGAAACAAGTACAGTAGTCCCTGATTTCGAAGCTATTTTTAGTTCTTCCAAACAAATTCCTTCTACTACAACAATTTCTACTATTGACATGGAAATATTGTCAAAAGAAACTTTAGCTATGACAAGAAGTCAACAAAGTTCTGGACCAACAATTAATTCTGGCCTCGAAACATTATATGAAGGCAAATATTCCGGAACATCAAGCACACAAATCGTCGACTTTTCTTCTAACACCGATATGATCCCAAAGAATGAAACGGATTTTCAGGAAACGGTGATTTTTCCAACCACTGATCGTACTATCATTTCTGAGAATATTTTACCTTTCGAACAACTACCAACCTTTACAGTTTCTTTACCAGAAGTAACACCGAAATTGATAATTTTTCCCAACAAAAAAGACTTTGATACAGCTCACGTTGGAATAAAACTGTCACCGGTATTTGATGAAACCGATAGATCGTCAGAAAAGAAAACCATAATGCTCAGTTCTGCTATGACATTGATGGAGAATGTTACTGAAGCAAAAATCAATTCTGAAAATCGAACATTATATTTTGGTCCCAAATATCCGGTTGATTCAATCGTGGTAGGTGATCGAGAGATTTTGGATGAGGAAAAGTTACAAACGGAAGCTTCATCGGTTCTCATAATGCCCCATATTGCAGTTGGAGAGCAGATCAGTGGAATGCAAGAAACCCATCCTTCAGATTCTTCAGAAAGTGCCGAAAAACAATTAATGATTACTTCACTACGAAGGCAAGACAACAGCACTACCGAAAGTACCTTATCTTCTCCGGTATTTCTGATGGAATCAGCTAAAACAATAGAGCAAACACAACTTAACGAGTTTTCTCATTCCGGATTTAGTTCGAGAGATGAAATAATTCTACCTGATCATGTCAATCGAGAGGAGAAAATTGCTTCTTCAGACATATTCATTATTCCTGAACAAGATTCTGGAAGTTTCGAATCAGATTACATAGAATCGATTGATGCAATTCCGAATATAGATGCACCATTTGCTGAATCTGGGACAGAACAAGGGACAAGTGGAATTCTGAAATCTGAATTTATGGAACCAAGACTAATAAATAACGAAGCGAACAAATCAGGAAGAAGTGAGAATCGAAAGACAAAATCCGACTTTAGAGTTTCGCAAACAAAATTGGTAAGAATGACGCGTAATTTAAGTATCCTCAAAATAGCCAAGTGACAGGTCCGTTCACGGTTTCATGATTTCTATTCAAGTTGCAAAGATAAGTCAAAAGGATACGGATGTATTTCTTTCACTTCTAGTGATTTTACCACGGTCCATAAATTTCTCAAAAATGACAAATAAAATATGACTAATTGAGTGTCAACTTGGCCAAATTTTCAATGATCAGTGATTGAAAGTTGCAGCCATCAGCAGCGATACGAGATACAAGCGTAATAAAGGTTAACGAATCGATCTACTGCGACATCGTTGCTATCAATGAAGGTAATTTATTCCTTGTAGGACATTTGCATAAAATTCTGGAAACATCGAGATGTCACATTTGATCAGAAAAATATGTTTTAGTAAAGGATTTTCTAATGGTCTTTCGATTTTTGATATCATAATTCAAATGTAAAATTTTAAAACCAAAACTGATTTTTCATCTCTTTTAGACATCAGAGAATGCTATGCGAAAAGAAATATTAACTTATAAGGTATAAACGACTACATATCATTAGTTATCATTGCAGATAAATGTCCGATAGTAAATGATAAATCTGATCAAACACAATCCGACATACTATTCTTAATAGATGCTTCTAATAATATCACAAGAAAGCATTTTCAACAAGCAGTAAAACTCGTCATGGATACCGTTGAACAATTTAAAAACATTGGTCCTGACGGTGTACAGGTTTTAAATTAGTTCCATTTAAAATTGTTAAATTCTCCATAATTAAAACAAAAGTATTTACAGTATGAGCAGTTTAAATGAAATACTGTAATGATTTGTAAACTTTTACTTTTTTAATAAAATTTCAAAGTTTAATAAATTCAATTTTGTTGAACAGATTTCATTGGTACAGTTTACACGAGAAGTTGTGTTGGAATTTTCATTTCGTAAACATAACTGTAAACCTTGCCTTCTTGCTGATATTGGTGATACTGAATATATCAATGATTTGAACAGTACTGATAATGTTATTCACAAGGTTGTAAAATATGGTTTTAGCAAGCAAAGAGTAAGTTGAACAAAACTTTTAACTTTTTTTTTAAACAAATCAATATTGTCAAGTTGTCGGAATAAAATCTGCAAAACTTCTTGTAAAAAATAAAAAACACTATGATATCCTTATTTTAGGGTGATAGGGATGAAGTGCCGAACATACTTGTAGTGGTTAGCAGCGGTATATCTGATGGTCAGTTTCATGAAGCGTTAAAGGTACGCTTATTCATGAATGATTCAGAATATGAACAATGAAGTTAAACCATTTCTTCACTGTTTAGTCATATTTAGAAATATTGTAGCAATAAGTTTCAGTTACTTAATTCAAACGATATAACTGTAATAGTAATATCCATCGAGGAGACAAATCCTCAATTGATAAAAGAACTTATCAAAGATGAAGGACATCATAATCTCTTCTTCAATGTAACTAAAGTGGACAGCCATCAGCTAGTTGGTCATTTGGTCGAGCACATTCGAACCATTGCAAGAGGTCCATCTATTTCTTACAATTCTATTATGCTAATTTTTAAAATGCAATAAGTTCATATCATTCAACAGAATTGAAATTCATAAATGTTGCAGAAACACTGTTGTAAAGAACTTTAATTAGAATTTTAATTAATACCTGCCATAATTTAATATAATTGCCAATCGATTTTCTTTTGAAACCATCGGAAAGGTAATCCAGTCAAAAATGGGATTAAGACTGGTTACGGTAACAAGCAATAGCATCATTCTTCCTTATTATTATAAATGATTTAAATCATATCATACAAAATATATGGAACAATTTTAAAGAAAAATCGCCATTGTTCAAGAAGATGATAGCAGTTAAAACGGATGAATCAATTCAGGGATTTACTGCGCAATGTTTAAATGATGGATTCAATGCAACATTTAAATTTTTGAAATCATTTGGTGGAACAATCATTGTTCAGAGTATTTACATTTCTCAGATCATTTTTTGTTGATTAATATTTGAAATATTGTCGGAAAAAATTCGAATTTTTATTTGACATAAACCATTTGTTTAATGTTGAAAATTTGTTTTTTTGTTTATTTTTCCTTTGTTTTATTTTTTAATTTTCAAAGACTTTTAATGAATAATTTTATTTTCATGTTAATTAATTGGTCAATTAAAGGCAAAAATATGATGAAAAATTGTTCGAAAGTTATTCAAGCGGAACGATTCGGTGAATATGTCGGAACTCGTGATGTTCACTTCTTTATCAGTTTTAAACAGTGTGGTGTCGAAGAAACAGTATCGGTAAGATGACAAAATTATTTGATAGATTGGACGATGGCGAAAATTCAAATTTATCACCTACTAATTTATCTTTCATGCTATTGATAATATAAAGTAACAAAGATAGGGATGAATTTAATCTCTAGGCATTTAACCTCATTCAGTTGTCATAGCTGTAAGGACTTTGAATAAGGTTTAATTTTGAAATTCGAATTGTATGAAAATACCAGTAATCACTATGAGTTGAACATTTTACTGTTGATATCACTGATATTGTTCAGTTTTTATAATAACTGATAATGATGATAGAATGATTCCACAAATTCTATCCATGTATTTGCTTTATTCAATTGGAATTTCATGAATGAATTTTAAAATAAATTTGAATCCACAGGTGAACCGAACAGGAGTAATTTATTCGGCATTGATTGGTGTAATACATGACAAATGGTTGGTAACAGATGCAGATGAGGGATTTGTTTTGCAATGTTATCAATCTCAACAATCACAAGAATACAATTTGCGCACTAATTTACGTCCACAAAGGTTTGGATAATTTCGGACATTTCATTTTCAGTAAAAATAGTTTAATTGATGAAAATTTTGGTGAAATATTTCTGTTAAAAGCTTGAGCATATTTGTTCTTTGAAATTTCTTCCAAAAAGTTTTTCGTCAAATTTTTTTTAAACCTTAATTTTAAAATTATCATTTTATGCACTGATCGAGATTTTGACATTTCATTTATAAAATCTTATAAAATTAGTAAGGAAGAATTGGAATAAAAAAAAAGCGAATATAAAATTTGAACCTATAATTAATTTGATAGTATAATTATCAGACAGAGAGCTAATCAAATTGTACAACATTATCAAAATTGTCAAACTTTTTTTTCCAGTTTTTTTTGAAAAAATTTTGAATAATTCATTTATTAACTTTAGGATTTAGGAATATTCTATCTGTTAAGTTGAAGATAAATCAATTAAAAAAATTAATTTTAGTAGTATTAAAATGGCAAAAATATTACCATTGAATTCAATACCACCATTATGTAATTATACGATTCGAGCAGGTACACTAAATGGACCTCTTATTCAATCTGCTAAACTTGGTGACAATGTTTATCACAAATGGGAATGTGAAGATGATCATCGTATGTTCTCTTTGTTAATTTTTTTTCTTTTTTAATTTCATACCATTAATCTTGAGATATTTTGATTATGTCACTTATGTCACTGAGAATTTTTGTTACATATGCATACATTTGACTAAATATTTAAAAATATAATTAGCCAATTAAAGATAGAAATATTACCATTAAGTGGAAATATTCAAGTTTTTTCTCCAATATATTGGATCTTTTCAATGTATATTAGTATTCATTTTATTTTATAAACGAAAGATCAAAGAATATTATTAATAGAAAGGAACAAATTGAGTGTACTTTTTCAATTACAGTAGCCTTTTCAGAAAATTTGAAATGAGAATTAATCAATCTTTCTTATTTGCATAAAAATTCATTTAAATTCCGTTCTTTTTAGAAATAGAAAAACTTAGAGAAATTGTTATTATTTTGAAAATTAAAATGTTGCAGAAGCATTGAATTTGTATGGAATTTATATTCATGATTGCTATGCTAAATCAGAAGAGACCAAACAACAACATGCCATTATTGATAGCAAAGGGTACAAACTGTCCTCCAAATTATTGTTTGATGCAAAATTTTAACAAAAACTTGAGTTTCTTCTTTCGAATTTGAAAAGATTTTAAAAATCAAACACGCAGAGAGCAATCATTAATAAAACTTAAAATCCCTTTCCGTCTATCAAACTTATCAGTAAATCACATTGTCCATGAAGAACTACTCTTTTTTTTCATTTAAATATTTCAAAATTGAATGAAAACGATGGATATTTTTAGTTGTAGTGCAGATGCAAATATTGTTAACAATGTGATTTATGCCAATAACAAGCTTCTGGCATTTGCGCATATCAAAGTTTTTAAACTTATCAATTCGGAACATTTATCATTTCATTGCAAGCTTAGTTTATGCATCAGAAAAGCGGATGGTTGTGAAGGAATTACAGTAATAAGTTTTATCTTACCTTTTTTTTAAAATTATTATCCATCGTTGTAATTGACGACAACTTAAACAAACCTTTATAAGCACTCTAAAATTCTGTACTAGTTTATACGATGAGTTTTTGATTTAACTCTTGAAACTTTGAAATTAAAATTTTTTTTTGAGGGGCGAGGGGACGAATGGTTTAAGCTAACGTTTCTATTAGAAACTATTAAGTTTAATTAACATTAAATTAGAGAATTGGTGAATATCAAACTATAAGAAATATTTTTCAAGTAGTTTATTGTATACTAATATTTATCATATCTATGCAAATATGATTTAATCTTTTGTTTCTTACTGAATTTGAAGTATGATTGAAAAAAAAAAACCTATGAGAAAATGGAAATTTGAAATCCAATTTTTTAGTTTATTTTTTTCTTTGTTTCATCAAAAGATTTCATAATGAATGCATATTTACAGCCACCTCGATGTCCAGGTATTGGTCATAAAGATTTCTTAATTTATCATCAAAATCATTACAATACAGAATCTTTTTTGGCTCCGTTAACTGTTGAGGAAGAAGTCAAACTTACTATTATTTCATCGATGAATATCATCACTGATTCAGCTTTTTCTCTTCAAACTGTTAAAGAGCTTACAAATACGAATCTCTTTTGGTTGATGATTATCCTGATTGCCTTATCAGTTATTATCATTTTGATACTTTTTAGGTTCAAATTTTAATTTTAAAACCTGAATTTACTGCAATTTCATTATTTTTATCTGAAGATAATTAACATTATTAATGTTATTTTTATTGTAGGAATTAATCATTCCAATATTTAAATTATTACATTTTGAAATTTCAATTTTTATTCTGTTTAAGTATATGATTTTGATATATACTATATGTTCTATCTAAAACATATCTAAAATTCGAATGATACTGTTAATAGTTGATTATAATTTTGATCGATTTCAGATATATCACTAAAATGAATGATATGAATGAATTTATAACATCGAAAAATTTGAAAAGATATGATGAAACCAATGATAACATTGATTATATTACACCTGCAACATCCATAAACATTGATAATTTTTCTCCGATCGAAAAAAAACTGCAAGAACGAAAGAATGGATACTGTAGCAAATGCTTGAAAGGAGTATTGTCTGGAGAAGATACAAATAGAAAAATGAAAACTGAAATCGTTTCTGTAAGTTTGAATTCCATTTACGATGGTATTAGACCGATTGCCAAATACGACTCATTATACGGTACTGTATCAGCAACGGAATCTGTTTATGTTCAACTTGATCGACGTGATGGATCCTCTTGGTCATTTTGATACTGAATTTTTATTATCATTCTTTTTGATTTATTGTTCAGACGTCTCACAATTAAAAAATATCCTGTCCTGCCTTATGGTATCATGGTATTATGGTGTCATGGTATTATGATGTCACGGTATCATCATATCATGGTATCAACAAATCGTTTTTTTATATAATATTGCATTCCTTTCCATCAACCTTTTGTATTTATCTTATCACAATCAAGGATATTGATTAGACATTGTTGTTAAGTTGTATTCCTTTAAGAACTGATAATTCGATTATAAAAATTTTTGAAAATTAAACGATCAGAAGTAATTAGCTCTTAGGAACCATAGAATATTTATAGAACAGCTGCTACCTCCAGGAATATCATAATTGCTCCATATTTTTGAAAATTGTTCCATATTGAAGTATAGAATAAAAATTTCATTTATTCAAAATTATTGTTATAAATATTCGTAAATCACAAGAACAATTTTCCTTTTCAGAAAATGGTATGGGTTTAAATAAAATAGTTGTTAATAATACAGCTTGAATTTTATGCCACATCAATCCCATTTCCATCCTCTGTGATCCAACGAATGATGACCGCCATGATGATGGTGGAAGTGATGATACCACGGGAAGTGTCCATGATGATGATGATGATGATGATAATGATGCCATGGGCCATCCCAGTCATTGTCCCACCAATCAGACGCTGTCACCGATACTGCCAACAGAGCTAACAGTAATATTGTGGCAAATCGCAGTGATACCATCACTACAATATAGGTAATTAACATTCCAGTTATTGAATTGTATCGAACAAATGATCAAAAAGGTCGATGGGCAATTATCGAATAGACAAGTAGATTTTAATAAGAAGAGATAAATAATGGAGAAACTTACTGAATGCTTGTAGAAGAGATCTTCTGTTCAGGTTGCATGGAAAAGATGCTTATATAGCAAATACTGAAACAGGCTTGGAATTAGGTTAATGGGAAGAGAATTTTTTATAGCTTCTTGTTAGACTGCAATTCTCTCATTTCTCGTTCTTCAGGTACCACTAGCTTGTGACCTCATTTCGGGTAGATAAGTTCCTCTCAGTTCACTCCCACCGCGACATTCTCATTAATTTCATCCTTCCTCATTAAGCTGAAATAGAATAGTATCTCCTAATATTTTATCAGTTTTTATGTATGCTTCTCACTACACTTTTCATTAAAGTAGAAAAATAGCAATTTTGAAAATCTCCAAATTTTCACTTTTTTAGAAGCAAATGGTATCACGACGATTTGTCACAACATTATTGCTAGCTCTGTTGGTAGTACCGATGACAGCTTCTGGCTTGTAGAACGATGATTGGGATGACCCATGGCATCAGTATCATCATCACCATCATGGATACTTTCCATGATCATCACGAACATTTTCTCCATGATCCACATTACGGCCGTCATCATTCGACAAGCCACGAGGGATGGAAATGGGACTGATAAGTTTGTAGTCGACACTTTTTTTTGTCCTTATCATTTAATATGGAGAGCGATAAATGGCAAAGATATCCTTGTACTCTCCAGCAAATAATCAATCATACATATACTATGAATATTCTGTTGTGTCGATGCTTATCATTTGATTAACTGACAAAGAGAGTTGCAACAGTACTCCAATTCTTAGGATACTGTAGTACTGATCGTTGGGTTGATATAGCGAGGAAATAAATTAATAACAAAGTTGGGACTCCCTGTCTTGTAACCTTTAAACACCAAAGTTTAGTGGACCGAGCCAGAAAATCAGCCAAGATATCAATTTATGTTGAGGCGGAATAAATAAAGAATACATAAAAGATGGAGAGAACAAGGATGAGCGAGAATGACGAAAATAGTACTGTTGGTGACTGGGGAAACGGTCAATTTCGGTAGATTTATATGTATGTGCATGCAATATATGTCATAAAATGTAGGAAGTGCTCTCCGAGGTGCAGTGAGTCTTTCCCGGTAGAAGCTTTGATGTAATCTATGGATGATGTTACACAAATTCCCCCGATAACCGGGAGTCTTAAATGACATGAGTTCTCCATCCCACCCTGGTCATGTGATTAAAATTTATTGTGAAATTGCAAAAGTAAAAAAATAAAATAATTTCATTTAAAAAGGTATTTGAGAAAATTTTTACAAATATAAATCATGAATCAAAGAAGTCATATCGTGAGCCATTTTCAAATTTGTCCTCTTCCAATAATGATAACATTTTTCCCACTGTTTCTTTCGGTGAAAGCGTTCGTCTGTTCACCTAAACATACTTTTTTTAAAATAGCTTGGAGATCAAAGTTCAACCCAAAATTACTTACAACATTTTCAAAACAGCTCAAAGATCATGTCAAAATTACTTGCAACTTTTTCAAAATAACTCAAAATTCGATCCAAAATTAACATCTGCCTTCTGTTCTACCAAGGCTTTAATCGGTTCCTCTCGGGATTCCCAATGATTTAATAATGGAAATTCAGAAATCGTTTGCACAGAGTTTTGTCGATATGAAACTTTGGAGATGGAAAAGAAGACGGCAAATGTACACACAAACAAAAAAAAAATACCTCAGTGCTATCAGCTTGCGCTTGAAATGATTTCCTTATATCTTCATCATATGATCTATAATTTTCTGGTCAGTTATAAGCTCAAATAACTTCACCAAAATCTAAAAATAGCTACTGCCATTCACTTATTTATCCGAAACAATTTCGTTTTTCTTTTAACTCATCGAATTTCATTTTTCCATTCCGGAAAGTACTGCAATATGAAAGTGATCAGTATTCATTTCAAAATATAAATTATCCATTTCAGAAAATTTTGCCGAAATTTTTCCACTGGCTTACCTTCTAGCAATTTCATTGTGCATATCAGTTTGTACTGGACCAGGTGAGTAATTCAAAATTCGTAAATTACATTCCTCAACTGCTAATGTTCGAAAGAATGCTTCACGAGCAGCTTTTCCAACAGAATACTGAAGATTTTACATTGTTGTTTTGTTAATTCAATCTTTCTAAATTGATGAAATTAGCCAAGCAATTCAAGGCTACAATGAAAAAAAAATATGATGCCAAAAACAGAATAAAAGTATAAAACTCTGAAATAAAAAAGTAACCTGAACCATAGAAGGAAATGCTTTTATAGCTAGTAGTGATGTTACATTTAAAATATAACGAGCAGGAGCTATCTGAAATCTTACGAGTTTTTAATATCGAGTTTATACGATCTAATGAATTTTATCATTTACCATCAATTTTTCAACTCCCTTTTCGTTTCAACCTTATTGAATTCAGTAATGCAAGTTTTATGTAATTGAAATGGAAAATAATTCTTCGGCAAAACATCTTCAGTCAAGAAAAAAAACTTCAAATCCCCGCAAATTTCTGTTATTCTTTTATTATAAGTTTATTAGAAATAACTATTGCGTGTTGTAACAGCTTACATATTTTTGCTATGAAATGTTACGAATTAAACACTGAAATATTAATTTTCTCTCCTAAATTTGACCATATATCAATTGGTTCAAAGTTCAACTATCAAAATATACAAAATGAAGAAAAAAGTATTATACCCGTTCAGGAATAGCACTCAACACTGAATTATTTATAAGTACCATTGAAACAAAGTTAATTTGCAAGTAGCTATGCCAATCATCGGAACTGTTAATTTCTACACTTCGTTTGGTGACATCACCAACTGTTCCGGCATTATGCACCAATAGCAATGCATCATATGTTCTTGAATTTGCTGTAAACATTATTTGCAAAGTGCAAATGCGATTTAATAAAAAAAGAAAATTTCGTTCACTTAAGATTGAGTCTGAATGAGTTAATCAATGAATTGTTAATTAATTAATTAATTAATCAATTAATATTAAATATGAACAAAATGAAACTAAAAAAAAACCTATCATGGATGAGATTGCTCCGTGCAATTCCAGAATTTTGCCTGAATTCAATTTTTCCGCATCACATGCCAAGACATAAATATCAATTCCTTCGACACTACATAGATTTTTGAAATGATAAAAAAATAAATTGATTGTAGTGACCATAACTGATAAATATTAGGAAGTAATCATTAATCAATAAGAGAAGAAGCAAAAATTCAATAAACCTAGACTTAATTTCTTCTTTTAATTCTTCAAGTTTAGAAGATGTCCTTGCAGTGATTAGGAATGCGGATCCTTTGGCAACAATTTTTGATAGTTGTAAGACTGTTTCTCGACCAATACCACGGCTTGCACCTCAACAATTTCAAATATTATTTCCGATCTTTTTCATCAATACCGATCCAAATTAGATTTGCAGTTAATTAAAAGATTTTAGTTAGATTTACATCCTAATTTACGCCTAATTAAGCTCATACCTAATTAAAACTTAATTTTCAGTAAATTATGCAATTTGAAAATTTACAATTTAATTTATTAACTTTATTTGAAATTCGAAAACTGATCCAATTATTAATTTTGTTACTTACCAGTAACAACTGCCAAGACTTTACGCCCTTTAAATGTCATCACAGTCTCGAAACTGTAATATTCAGCAGATGATCAAACAAACCCAGTCGTTAAGTTCACAAATAAAATGAATCAAATAAATTTGATCGTTATCACAATTACAATTTGAGGATTTCACGATTGTGAAACTGAAAAAAAAGTTATCAGGTACAAAAGATGGAGTGATAGATGATAAGTACTAAACAGCTACGATGATATATGATATGATCTTTTATGCTAAAACAAGATGAAAATACAGGATAACAAGTTAAGCAGACCAAAATTTTTCAGAATCTGCAAATACCACTAATTACTGCTGATAATTTGAGGTCATTTGATTACACACTATTTAGGTTAAATTAATTAGGAAAAGATAATAAGTTTGTAAAATTAAAATGATATTAAAGAGATAAATTTGATAGCTTTACTCTACACAATTATTTATGGATTAGGACTTTAGGCTTGAATCAATCCACAATTCTTTGCTTGTAAAGCTAGAAGAAAGAGAGAAGAAGAAAATGGCCAACAATTATCGAATCAATAATTTACATCAAAATACTATCTCATTCATTTGAATTTGATTATGTTTTTGAGAGATTCTCTTCAAAACAGCATAGCAATAAACTCATTTATAAGCTAAATTTGGGCGCTCTTTATGCACTAAAAAGAACCCACAAAATGGAATATTTGTTAAAGTGGTCAGAGAATAAGAAGCCGATAAGATAAGCAGCATCATTAATCCACTCTAATATAAAATGAGAAACTAATAAATAACAATGTTTCGTGTACAATCATCTTGATGTGATGACCAGTTTGATGATAACGGGAACTTTACTGGCAACTACCAAATGATGATGACATTGATATTGGAATTAAGAATTAAGAGGACAAGAGAGAGAGAGAGAGAGAGAGAGGGAGGGAGGGAGGGAGAGGAGGAGGAGGGAGAGGAGGAGGAGGAGAGAGAGAGGAGGAGGAGGAGGAGAAG